ACCAAGTTTAAGCCTCTTAAACTTTCTGTGGCGGGCTTCGCCTTGTCCGATGTTGCGGACATTCTCATTTTCATGATTTTGTATGGCTTCTGCTTGTTTCCTGCATAGTTTTGTTATATAGTCATATACCTACAGGATTTTAAATGCCTTGTGCAATTCGCGGACCGGTGTGCGCCTTGGAAAATTGCCAGTCGTGCGGAGATCCTTGTTTTGCAGGCGCTGCAATTTAACTAGACGAGTGTCTGCCGCAAACTCCCAGGCGGGACTAGCATAAGTCATTACGGATCTAATAAGAGTTTTATGGAGAGTCAGTTTAATGTTAGCGCTCAATCGCTCACTTTTGAATAGGGAATATACTCTAATGAATGTTCTGAAGGCCTTGGCTTCGATCATTTCTATGTGTAATCTCCAAGTCACTCTCTTATCGAAGATTACACCTAGATATTTAGCACTATTTACAAATGGAATATTTCTTCCATTTAGAGTAAGACAAGACTCAGGCGGTCGACAATCACGAGAGAAGTAGACCCCCCCCGAGTCTTATCTTCATTAATTTTTATATTCCAGCGCTCACACCAGGTCTCCATTGAGCTGAGACCGCGCTGGAGTTTTCTAACAATAAAACCCTCTTTGCGATCTGTCGCATATAGACAGGTGTCGTCCGCAAAAAGGGCCAAGTTAACACCACGTGTTTGGGGGAGCATCATTAATACACAGATTGAAAAGGGTAAGGGAAAGGACGGAACCTTGTGGCACCCCTGCTTGCATTTCCCTTGGTGTTGACATTTGGCCTTCGACCGAGACCCTGAATTTACATTTAGAAAGAAAGGACCCAATAAGTTTGGTCAAACTGTTCGAGAATTCTGATTTCGATAACTTATACAGCAATCCTGAGTGTCACGTGGTATCAAAGGCTTTTTCGATGTCCAAGAACACCGCAGCCGTAGATATTTTGTTGTTGAAATTAAGGGTCACGTGGTCCGCCATCCTCATACATTGCAATGTCGTGCTGTGACGTGCACGAAAACCAAACTGGCTTGCGTAGAGCAGGCCTCTTTCTTCAATATGTTTACGGAGGAATTTCAAAATTACTTTCTCGAATAGTTTTCCTGTCGTGGACAGGAGGCTAATCGAACGTAAATTTTGAGGGAATTTAGGGTCTTTACCGGGTTTGGGTAAAGTTATTACTTTTGCTTCCTTCCAAGTTGTTGGAAAATGAGAAAGCAGGAGGCAGTGATCGAATAAATGGGTTAGATGAACCAATGGTCGCCTTGGAAGGTCCCTGAGGCATTCATTTGGGATGCATTGCCGCACGTTGCTGCCACCACTCGTATTTATACAGTACTTGATGTCCAGCCCACTTGTAGATTATCACGTGCGCTAGCCAATCAGCGCTCACAATCGCAACTGTAAGTTTAAGCTCCGCCCAGCAAGCATGGTATAAAAGCGGAACCCAAAGCTCGCAATTGCTCGTATGTATATTAGTGATGCCCCCCAAACTCATGGTATTCATTTGGCCCTTTTTGCGGACGACACCTGTCTATATGCGACAGATCGCAAAGAGGGTTTTATTGTTAGAAAACTCCAGCGCGGTCTCAGCTCAATGGAGACCTGGTGTGAGCGCTGGAATATAAAAATTAATGAAGATAAGACTCGGGGGGGGTCTACTTCTCTCGTGATTGTCGACCGCCTGAGTCTTGTCTTACTCTAAATGGAAGAAATATTCCATTTGTAAATAGTGCTAAATATCTAGGTGTAATCTTCGATAAGAGAGTGACTTGGAGATTACACATAGAAATGATCGAAGCCAAGGCCTTCAGAACATTCATTAGAGT